GGGGGGGGGGGGGCAGGCATGACAGCAACAATGTGACCCTTTAAAAACACGATGAAGAAGGTTGTTTTGAGGAAGCAGCGGAAGCATGACCCTGAAAGGAGCCATTGTGGAGGACATGGAAGTGTACAGAATAGACTTTGCGTATTTAGCATTCAGAAATACACAGAATCAAATTGGTTGCACAAAAACATGTGTGTTCCACGTTAAAAATAAAGAGCTTACATTTCTTGACTTTGAAACATAGACGTGTGTTTACGTCATTTACCTGTTAATATACTGTTTGTCAACGTTGGGTCTGTCAACAACTTGATGCGTGATGCTCTCATCCGTCATCTCGTACGTGCTGCCGATGCAAACAGACTTGTCCCAGGACACTTCACCACCAAAACACCTGGAAGGCAGCAACAGCAGCAAATCAGTGTTAGGCCTAAATGTGTGTAAATGTCTTGGACTCTCCGGAGGTTCCCTGCAGCTGTCACTCACCTGATGAGAAAAGCCAACGGCTCTCTGGGCACTTCTCTGTTGAGGAAGAACTTGTGCCCCTCAAGAAGCTTTTTCTGAGCTTCCTGCTCTTTCTGTTCCCTTTCTCTGGCCTCCATCTTTTCCATGTCCTCCTGAAGAAGTAAAAGAAAGCATTTGTTGGAGTATTAGAAAGCCATTGTTATAAGGCTTTTGTTTGATCAGGGAAGATCAGCAACATACATAACGTTGTGGTATTCCCCCGGCTGTTGGATGGTTGTTCATCTTGGAGCGAGCTGGGCTCATGTTTCTGATTGGTCGGGCTCACCAAGCTCCCAATATTAGGAGCATTTCAACCGTAGCAACCAAACATAAAACCGTAATCCCCAGTCTCACACTTCTACAAACTTCAACCCCTCTGACAAATATATGCAACCTCAGCCTTCAGAGACCAATTAGTTCATTCCACTGACTCACTGTTTTGATCGGACTTCTCAGAATCATGACATTTTTTAATTCTCAGTACCAATTAAACATAATATAATAATACATGAGATGTATGTCATCGGAGACGAGATTGAGTATTTCAGATATATATTTTTTTGTGAACTGGTTTTCTTACGTCTTCAACAGGAAATTGGTCGAGTTGAGCCTCCTCCTCCTCTGTAGTGGCAACCACCGTGGCCAGACTCGTACTCAGAGCTGACAGTTTCTGCAGAGCCAAAACACACCAGTTTAGAACATTCTCTAATAATTATGTTATAAGATAAACAATTACCATTTATTTCAGTGTATAGAACGTTACAAACATCAGTTCAGTTAAATAAGAACACAGTAGTTTGCAGAACTACAAGTTTACATAATTACCGGGATCATTTTTAAAGATGGAAATGAATTAAATATAGAAAGGACAAAAAGCACTGGGTTTCAGTGTTGAGTTTTCCTTATTAGATATATAATGTTTTGCCACCTATGACAAATTGTATCAATCTATTAGTTTAATCTTCCAAGTGTTGACGTATCTTTCAATGAAGTTTGCGCTGCTCACAGCATTAAAAAAAACTAACACATTTTATAATTCAAAATCAGTGTCTTTTCATTAGCCAGGATGTTTCTTTTGAAAGACGTCATCATTACCTCCAGGTAGCTTTCTGAATTCATGGCGTAGTCTTCGTCATTCTCCTCCTTCAGCTCGGACTCTGCTTTAGCGTCCAGCTGCAAAAGGAAGGATAACATGAACGGGGGAGAGGTGAGCTAACGGGAGACTAAATGGAAATTCATCTTTATTGTAACCCCACATGTATTATACTCATTTCATGTCTCACAATAAGAGATCACAATGTAAGATTTTAGTCCACATACCTAGCTACTATTTGACTTGAATATCATTTATCTAAACATCAATATATTGCTTTAACAACTATTGTAAAACAAATATTGTCCTGACTGGCCACTCACAATAACCTTATAAATGAAGTGCGTGCGAACATATATAGAGAACATCCCCTGTGATGGTTGAGTCCGATGTACCTTTGGGGGGTAGAGCAGGTTGAGGGAATGGTAGAGCCTGAAGTTGACGAACCCCAGGAGAGTGGTGTACAGCTCTGTGAAAGTAGCCATCACTCTGTAGTCCACATCTGTTGGGTGCTGGAAGGGAAAACAAAGGGTTTAACTAAGTCTCAGTGGTTAAAATAAATACACACGAAGGCATACAGTCAAGAGCCATTTATAATCCCTAGCGCACAAACCCCTGGGGCAGTCAGTTGAACTCAATTAAATACCCGCAGGTAACCCTGCTCTTACAGACACACGCTTATTTTGTTATGTCAAAAATGTACAGAACAATCTCTGGCACAACCTAAGGCTATTATTCCATCATATGCACAGATCTTAAATACAGAAATGTTTTATGAGTTTGGCTAACTTATTTTTAACATCTAATCAATTATTGTTTAGGAGAATTAAGCTTCTTGTGCATTTGAGCCCTCAGTCTGTAAATATTAGTATTTAAAACCTTTACCTGAGTGATTGAACTATAAGCATTACTCCTCATTTCATTTTTTTTTTTTTTAAATATATATTTTATGACACATAAGGATTTTAAGGACATGCCACAATAATAGTTATTGCATATTTTTGTAGTATACAAGGTCATTTCAAAAGGGAACATGACTTTTAAGCTGATTCCTGTACATTATATCATATTACAGGTCATTTTAAACTTTAAAATGACTGTGAAGAAAGGGAAAAAAAAAACAAAAAAAACTGCAATGTAAATAAAGAGAAATAATTCATTCCTAAGGCCATAAATGTCTGTGTGTTGATATTAGGGCTGCAACAAACGACTAATTTGATAATCGATTAATCTATCGATTAATGAAACGATTAATCGATTATTCGGAACGTTAAAGTTTTAACTGTACTACTTCTTATATCAATACTGCTTATCGATCCGGTCCTTTTAACGATAGTATTAACGGTTCTTTTGACAAGAAATAAGGTAAACTAACTCAACAAATTGTGAACAAAACTAACATTGCTTTTTATTTTAATTAAATGCATAATATTTCACATCAAAAGAAACAACAATGTTTTAACAAATCATATTAAATAATGTGATGACAGAACTGTAAACAGAATAGCTGAAACTTTAACA